GGAGATGGCTCAGTGGAATAAGCGCTTCCCTGGCAAGCTCAAGGGCCTGAGTTCAATCCCCGGTTCCGAAGGCGGGGGGAAAAAACAAACAAACACGTATCACTCTCTGCATTATAGTGCCACCTCTTGGATGTAAGTGAAAGTCACATGTATTAAAACAACTCAGAGCCATGGTGAATTCTAAAATTTATTTTCTGCCCAGTATGGAATTACTTAAATCACTTGACTTGAAGAGCATGCTGATAGCTCATAGGTCAGAAAAGTGCCTTCTATAGTTTGTGAGTTTCTAGCTATTTGAAACTACATACTGCAAAGGTGCTGCTTGTATTCTCAGTCTCCTCCCTCCAGCCTCCAGCCAAGAGAAGAGCGTAGAATAGCCGAGGGTCCAGAGTCTGTGCTGGCCTCCAGGGCAAAAAGAGCCAGGGATTTCCTTCTCTAGTTGCTAATATATAGTGTAGGTATCCAAGCTATTAATAAACCCCTTCTGCAGAAGTGCTTATCTTTTATTACAGGAGGGATGAAGGTACAGGGCTAGATCACCAGAGTGAATCAGCACCGCTGGATGGCTTATCTTTTGAGCTTCATTTATGGGCTCCCTCAAAGCCAGGATCTTCAGAACAGTATAGGAAAAAAAAAAGTGTAATCATATCAATTAACTGGCTGGCTAACCAGTATTCACTTAAAATTAATGGGGTGAGCCAGGCAATGACTATATTAAAAGTGTTATGGAGGTTGGAGGTTTTGTGTTGTAAGCTTGACTTACACTTGGGTCTATGTCAGTATTCCTAGGAAAGACCAAGCCCCAGTTGAAGAAAGCTGTATAAGTAAACTATGGCAGGTCAAGGCACCTTCACTGTGATACGTCACTTCTGGGCAAGAGCCCTATGTGGGACAAGAAGCTGTTTGACTGCTGAAGACCTTCTCCTTTGCAGGCGAGACAGGGCTCTTCTGGGCTGTAGCCGCTGGGCCAGTTCCTGTGTCTGCCAGTGCTTGTTTTGTTTTCTTTGCTGGGCATTCAACTCAGGACTTGCCTATTGCTAAGCTACATCCCGAGGCCTTTAAAATTTTTGAGACAAGGTCTTTCTAAGTTGCCCTGGCCAGCCATGGTCTTGTTATCCTCTTGCCTTTGCCTCTTAAATAGCGGGGATTATAGGTGGGCCACCATGCCTGATTGGCAAGTTTTTTTGTAATAAAGTGTTACTATGATGCTTCCTTTTTATTAGAAAATACTGTTATTTTCTAAAGAAAAAAAACAAAAACCTGATTAGACAAAAAAGTTCCCATTTTAAATACGAGTGTTCTAATTGAAGTGCATAGATTAATGTGGTGGAAATAGTTGGTTTCCATCCAGCCTTTTCTGTTCTTTTTGTAACCCAATTTTATTCTGGGATCCACCCCTGTACTCCTTGATTCCAAATACGCCAACCCTATCTCCAGCTCTAGGATGGGCCTTATTTGGCTTAAAATTATGGCAGTTCTCTTCTATAGTCACTGGCTCAAGGAACTTATAGCCTGGCATTTCCTGACCAAAGGAATTTGTTAATGTGACACCTCCTTGCCTGAAACTGCATGTGACATAACCTGGGCAAGTTATAAGAGAAGGCTGAGTTTTGGGGGAAAGAAATACCAGAGTTTTTCTGAGCTG